GGGGGCACTTGGGGACCGACTTTTTAATATTCAAAAAGAAATTAAACAGAAGGGTAAAAAACAATTCTGCAAAAACATCATGCCACAGAACAGGGACGTGGGAATGTATTGAAATCAGGGGGTAAGGTCTCACGATGCGCCACTATGGTTGGCGCCGAGCGATAAAATTTTCAACATTTAGAATCTCAAGGTCGCTGGAAACGACAATTTCAGAGTCTTAACTCTACTTTTCGGTAGGCTCGTTCAGGTGTACGAACGAAGGATTAAGAAAATTCATCCCTTATTTAATAGTTCGCTCAATTTCTGCATTTGTTCAATCTGTTCCAGATCAATAGAATCAGATAAGTCATTTTCTAAACTGAAGAATCAAAACATATGTATAGGCCTATGAGCCGCGTGTGAATACCAGGACGTGTTTATTAGTAATGTGTATGAGCTGTCATGAGAATATCGGTTCGCAGGCCACAGGTACGAAATCGGATAGTAGCAGAGAGAGAGAGAGACGAGTTTATTTTTTCGAATATAATTGTTACTTTCGTCCGTCCATATAAAATACTGAAAATAATGAAAAATAGAAGTGTATAATAACAACTAGCAAAACAATGAAATCAAGATAATAAATAATCTGAATTAACCATCTAAACCTTAGCAGGTGCGCTACGATTTGACGTTTAAAAATCAAGAAATAGTTTCTTACACATTAACACGTACACATACACATAGGCTTGTTCATAACATCTTACCAACCGGCTCTTGTATTGTCGGTCCCAATTCACGGAGTCGGACAGAAGTAATATTAATTCTTATACCCGAATTTTGGGACCGAGTTTTCGCACAGTATCAAGGAAGAATGGGACCGACTTTTAGTGATATTCGGACGCTAAGGGGGGTTTCGCACCCCCCCCCCTCCCAACCCCCCCTAATGTGCGCCCCTGTTAATATGGTTAAACGGGTTACTAGTTTGATTTGTTTAAAGCATCTCACGGGCATGGGACCCACCGCATTAGAAACCAGAAAAAAAATGCGAAGTTGACAATAAGATATATAAAATATCTCGTAACGTATTGGATTTGAACCTGTTGGAAAAGCATTTGGTTCCTCGATCTCACGCTATATAACTTGCAAACACATGGTGTCATCCTAGTTTAAATTCAGAGTTCCGAGATGGCAAAATCTATCACAAGATGCGGTTATTTCGAACTCGGAGGAACTTTTGGATCAAGTCTTCATATTAAGTGTCTGTTAACGTTTAATTAATTCATACACATTTTAGCTTAGATAGTACTATAGGTAAATGTTATTAATTTAAATAGCCCTTAACCTATATAGTTGGTGTAATGCCCAAACGGATTTTACCCATGCATGCACTTTGCATAATGTAGATAATTAGTTAATATCAAAATATATGGAAATTAGATACCAGTATATCCCATATCATCAGTCAGAGAATGTACAGTATATACGAAAATAAAATAAGTTCACCGTAACGGCTATTAATAGCTAAAACATTAGTACACCACAGCGTACATCTATCTGCGCATGGCATTATACAAATAATGAATGTTTATGAGTGCAATGGTAAAAATATTTTCATGAGGTGAAAGATGGAATGTTCCATTCAACGAGGCGACAGCCGAGTGAAAATATTCTTATCATTGCGCTCATAAACATTCATTATTTGTTTTATATAATGCCAAAATAGACTAATATTAAAAGGTTAATTTACTGTAAGCTCCAGCCATTTTGACGAGTCGTATTTGCATTAAATCCCATTTTCTGCACGAGTTTCGAATATCGGGTTAATTAAAATAAACTGCGATCACCGTACGAGAAGCATTTTGACGGATACGATTTATCGAAAACACAAAGAATGCAATGGAATAAAACGTATCGTACAACTGCACTCGCAAAGGTGCAATGGAACGTATTCCATTGCACTCTTGGGAATAGAATTTTCTATATTCAATATCACGTGACCATAAATAGCCAATTAATTATTAAGGTTTATAAGGCAAATTAAATATTAAGGTTTATATAAATTCAACTTATTCACATTAACCATTAGAATTAATTAAACATATACTTCATGCAAACACGCCAAACTATGCACTATTGTTGTAAATACGGAAGGAGGATTTTCAATAACACGACTAGAGAAGAAGACTTTCATAACAATTCATAAAATATCTGATTTAAGTTTTACTTTGAACAGTCATACAGTATAATACACGTTTCGATAATTACGTCATACATACTTTTTGGCCTGGAGTTCTGCTCTCATTAGTAAATTACGCAAGGTAATGGACCTTTCACCTTTTGACTAAAATTTAGATTTCAACAAGTCTAGACAAAAATTTTATCACAGCTTGAAAGAGCATCACAAAATTAGTAATATTCCGAAGTTTCGTTGCGAAATGTTTTAAAATGCGGATAATATAGCCTTGCGAAGTTTGCAATTTTCAGTCATTTTGTATTACAAACGGGAAATACATACCCTTTTCCCGAAGGAGGTATGTATTTCCCGCGCGTAATACAAAATGACTGAAAATGGCAAACTTCGCAAGGCTATATTATCCGCATTTTACAACATTTCGCAATGAAACTTTGGAATATTACTAATTTTGTGATGCTCTTTCAAGCTGTGATAAAATTCTTGTCTAGACTTGTTGAGATCTAAATTTTAGTCAAAAGGTGAAAGGTCCATTGGCTCACGATTCATGAGAGCGAGACTCCCAGGCCAAATGACGTAATTATCGAAGGGTGTATTACGAGTTGCCTATAAAGAAGGAGCTATAGGACACTCATTGGAGTTGAAGTCACGACACAATATTGCCTAAGCCATGATGGCTATTTAGCATATAGTGTCCGACGAAAGGCATTCGCTCGAAACGACGCCGTTCTCCTTGTATACGTAATCCAAAATAAAGCTATGAGAACAATCTTGAGTGCTAATAGAAAAATCTGTACGCAATAAATGCGAAAGCGTCTTGGCCTCTTAACTCTGCACAGTAGACGACGATTTCTGAGACTAAGGAATATTCTAAGTATTTTAACAATTATTTGGTCCTAACTAGAAGCTCGTTAAGGGAAAAATCCCTCCGCGATCAAACCTTGATAGATATACCAAGAATGTTTAAAGTTGCTGCAGCACGTGCAGACTGCATGGAACTTGCTACCGAAATGTATCAGAGATATTAAAGTTCTCGGTAGCTTTAAAAATGTTTTTAAACAATTTTTAGAATTTAATTAGCTGAATGGATCTCACAGTTTACTGATTTTAATAAAGATTATTATTATTATTATTATCTTTAAGGTAGGTGCATCCCTGTCAATCTGAAGTTTTCTTATTATTGGCACTATATACCTGGACTGGCACTGACACTGACACTGACAATTCAAGAGTGTTCAAAGAGCCACTTGGCCTTGACAACTCATATAGTGCATGCCCCGACGTCTTGTTACGTTGTGTTGTTGTCCGTTTGTTTAGCGTTCGGTTACAATATACGCTAATTTTCAATCTTTGTGTACTCTTCATTAGTTTGAAAATTTTGAATTCCTCTACTAATGAACTCAAATTTCCAATTCAAACGGCGATATTTCAAGCTGTATAGATCAGTTTAACAAAGTAAAGGTTCGATGTGCATGTGTTTCCAACAATGCTAGAAATAAAATACACGACAGTTTTGGAAAAGCATTAAGAACAGCCATAACCAAGGTCGAGTGGCTTCCAACTCTCATGCAGCACCCTCATCCTCGTTTGATTCGGGCTTACAAAAGGTTAAGACAATTATATATCCCCTCTGATATTGTTCCTGCTTTCACAGTGCGTTCTGACAGGCATGTTCCGGCGTTCCGCGGCAACACTGGCTTAAACTAGATCCTGTCATGTCAGTACTATATACTATCAAGACCATGCAAGATCTAACGTAACGAATCTAAAACAGTTCTTACTTTTGGGAAGTTGAAGAACTATTCCCAAATGTTACCAAGTTTATTACGAACCTATATATATACCTAAACTGGGTCCCCACATTTGTAACATACAGTAAGGTGGCAAAGCACTGGGTGAACTGAATTTAATTTAAAGGATTTACTAGATAGAAATTATTACGTTTTATCGACATCACTATAGGGCCGCTTTTCAGATCTTGTGTGTATATTAAACTGAAGTATGCCCCTTGACAGCGCCTTGTTTTGTCTATTGCGTCGAAGGCGTGTCAACTTTGCGGTCGTTGACCGTCGGTCGTCTCGTTGACATTATGATTATCTAGTACTTTTGATCCAGATATCTTTATATAACGTTGAAGATAATTCATTAAGGGACGGACCATTAGAAAAGTGATGGGGGGGGGAGGGATTTTCTAAGAGGCAATATTTTTTTCTTGTTCACCTATAGAAGAAATTTTTTTTTCTCAGTTGATGGGTGGAAATTTTCTTTTTTAAGTGAAATTTATAGGCCTATCTTCCAAGCTAGGAATTTTTTTTGCACTATGCCTGGGAAGATTTTTGTTTCCTAATTTTTTTTCTGGGGATACATTTTTTTTTGTCCTCCCCCCCATCACTTTTCTAATGGTCCGTCCCTAACTGTTAGGATTTGAACTCAGCACGGTTTGAAATACTTTTATATGAGTCACATTGATATTCTATTATTTTAAGTTCTTTTAGTAAATTTTACCGTATTTTAATATTGCATGCTGTAATATATTTTAAGACTAATTGTCTGTAGTTTTGTAAATACGCAATGTAAATTTGTAAAATAGTTTTGTGAAAATATATACGCATTATATGCATTTTCATTAATAAATCATAATCATAGAACAAGGCCTGCTTTCAGACGTCCAACAATATATTCGTGAAGCACAATTTTAAGACCTTTTAAGTTAATTTAAAATACAAATGGCTCAAATGAATACACACACTAACATCAATATATAGGGCATGGTGGGCGGACAAACTTTTAAAGACACGATTTAATTGAATGAACTGAATTTAATGTACTGGGGTTTGCCATGCAGAAGTTACATTATGTTTTACCGACTGCTTTTCCGATCTGGTGCCTATAAAAGTCTGCCCCCTTGACAGCGCTGGCTTGTTTTGCAAGCCGCGTCAACTTTTACATGTTTAAATAAGGCCTGATTTTCGATTGTTTTCATGAACATTTAGATATAAAGAACGGAAATTGCTTATCACCATCTTACAGTTGTATTGTCATTTCTCTTCCAGAATTAATCATCACACAATACTTAATACTCAAAGGACATACATTTTTGTCACCCTCGCGCCTCCACCTGCATGACTCTCGTTACAATCTAGCTCGGACGTAACTTGCCACTCTACACAAAATCGCATACTTATTATGATAGATTCGTTATAAAGTCATGTGGGGAAGTGGTTTTGGGAATTGGTTTTGACAATAGACAATTACCATTATAGACTAATTTTAAAACTAGGCAAGGAGATGCAAATAAATCACCACAGCTAGAAAGAGCATACTAAAATTAGTAAAATTTGGTTGCGAAATGTTGTAAAATGTGGAAAATATAGCCTTGCGAAGTTTGCAAATTTTGTATACTTTTGTATTGCGTGCGACCATTTCCGGCCTAAATGTGGTAGGAATGTGGTAGGAATTTCCGCAAGCAGTACAAAAGTATACAAAATTTGCGAACTTTTCAAGGCTATATTTTCCTCATTTTACAACATTTCGCAACCAAACTTTGTAATTTTACTAATTTTAGTATGCTCTTTCTAGCTGTGGTGATTTATTTGTAATAATTTTAAAATTAGTCTATAATGGGAAATGGGAATTGTCTATTCACATTAACTTTGGAAGAAGAGGTCACAACGCCGGTTATGTCCATGGTCTTGACTGGTACAGTATAAGATGAGTCCTCCTTTGGTCTAAATAGAACATTTAAAAAGCCTAGCCCAGAATGGTTAGATCATTAAAAAACATCCTCTCAGTTCTAGATGTACTGTTGATAAATATTCTACACATCACTATTCACTGCAGAATTCACGAGCGAATATCAAGTACCAACAAACTTGGATTTCCTGTTTCTTTCTTTATTTATTTCTTTCTTTTCCAGTCACGGTTATTTACGTACAGCGGACGTTGAGATACGTCCGAACATGAGAACATCATTTGAAACGTTGAGAACATCATTTGAACGTTGAGAACATCATTTGAAAATAGCTAGGGGAAATTAGCAAGATAACAGGGAAAATAAGGATTATAAATAAATCCTTATTTCCCCTGTTTTGATAAAATTTCATACATACTGACAAATCACTTTAGGTAATTACGTCACTAACAGACGTCTATAAAACAAAATGAGTACGTTTGCCATATACCATTGCTGGTCACTTGCACGAAGAAGGCGAAAAAACTAAAGCAGAAAATATCAACGCAAGCAGTCAGAGAAAATGTTGGCGAAACTTTTGCTGGCTCTTTGTTGCATATCAGCATGTGAAGGTAAATATATATATATATATATATAGTGAAACCTTAAATTTTATGTACCAGAGGGCATACTTACACCAGCAAATTAGTTACGTCACAACGTTATAAATAAATTATAAAATGAGCAAATTACGCATTTAATTCAATCTGATTGGGAAGGAAGTCAAAATCTTGCTAATTTCTCTTCAAATTTCAATCCAAATTAACCTGTTTGTATATATAGGGGGTGACTAGATCCCATTTCCACTGGCCTTGAAATTCGCATTACAGTCGAACCCCTATTAAGCGGACACCTTCGGGACCTCGCCTAAGTGTCCGCTTAAAAGGGGTGTACGCTTAAAAGGGGTATGTAGAAAAACACAGCAGGAGGCAAAGGTGTATGATTAGGTGTGTAATTTGAGTATCAAAACAGTAAAAAATATCTAAAAAAATATGAAAATTTCTTTGTTCATAAAAGTTCGTTAGAAAATGTATACGTCTCTCACAGTCATATAAAAAAGGAATCGATACAAGTTTGCTTTCGAGGCTCACGCAGACGATAGCCCATTATAATGTCATTTACATAAAAATGGCGTTGAAAAGTTCTTCCAAACCTTGACATTGTAGTGCGAATTCTGTGAGCCGCTGGACAACTTTAAGGGCTTTGGAGGACGATTTAATGACTGGTTCGTTTACTTCGTTAAGAGACCAGCCAAATTCGTCATCTTCGTTCAGTTCGTTGTCATCATCAGTGATCTGACACATATCTTTCGGCTCCTCGGCTGGCGGTTCAATTGCACTCCTCCGTCCTCGTTGGTCACTACCTCAATTGAATCTTGGCTCTGATGTCTTCGCGCCAAGTTGGTGTGACACTGTCACTGTCAATGTGCCATGTAAATTGATCTCAATTGTTATTCACTGTCGAATATTGAATACATTTTATCAGACAATCTGTCATCTGTCTGCTTAAGAGAGGTTGGTTTGCCCATTGGGACCTCAAGTAAGGTGTCCAGTGTCCGCGTCCGTTAAAGAGGGGTGTCCGCTTAATAGGGGTTATGATAATAGTATTTTATTAAAGAAAACTAATGGGACCTGAGATATGTGTCCGCTTAAAAGAGCTAGGTGTCCGCTTAAGAGAGGTGTCTGCTTATAGGGGTTCGACTGTATTCCCTTAATTGCGACATTTTCAGCGATATAGGCGATAAATGGTGAAAGTGAACTTAATATTAAACGCCGTGGCATTTAATCGAGTAAATACGGTGTTCGAATTTTTCCAAAATTCGTCGATTACTTGCTTACCTAAAGATACGATTGATTTTTAGGAGGATGGGTAAACCTTGGCAATGGCTGTACTTCTGCTAGGGGGAATCACCCCGCACTGTTAACATACCGTGGTACTGGTAGGTCTGGTTTTGTGTCTGCTTTCAGGCTGACGCATATACGTGGAAAAATTGGATGTCATGCATGCTAATGGAAGGACAAATTGAGGATGTATACTGCTCATCACCGTACCAACATGTACGTTACAGATGTGAAGAACGTTGTCATGTACCCTTCACCTGTGTTGGTGAAGCCATTTCAATCCGGTGGATGGTATCATATCCCTGGCTACTTTGCGAATTCACCCCAACTTGCCTTTTCAGATGTTGGCCCCAGGTATATATATTCCGGACACCAGATGAGAGTATGGTATGGAGAGGATCTGTACGGGTACACTGAAAAGGATAACCATGGCTACACCTGCTTCAAAGCTGAGATATTCTTCGTTTACTATGCATGAATCATGTGAAATATCAATGATACATGTGAAAAAAGCTGGACCTGCACGATTAGACTCAATAACCCATGTTTAACGATAGCTACGTACTCGTATTGTTTTTTTTTTAATTGTACGAGCCATTATATTCCAATCATTTAGTTAGTAAATAAGACATATTTGTTGTGAAGTTAAATGTATATATTGCTGATTTTTGCAATGCATGCGTACAAATATACAATGTATAGTATAATGCAATGAAACGTGATAAAATTTAATAATAAAAACATGCTAATGAAAAGAGGTTGAATCTGTCCACTATATACTGGGGGGGGGGGCACTACTGTATAAGGGGCCATGCAAATATACGGGGCCGGAGCAAAAGGGGACGGGGTACATACTTTTTTGAGCTGCATAGAAGCGAGGCACACAGAAGAAGCGGGGCATACAAAGAAGCGGGGCAGCAACTTTTTTAGTAAAGTTCCGATCGGGGCTGGAGATTTTTATCACACCAACCTAAGCGGGGCTTGCTTTTTTTAACATTCAAAATTGCACGATTTGCCCCGGCCCGGGGGTACAACAAACTTTGCAAGGATTCTAATGTTTAATGCCAGCATTTATTTGTGAAAGTGGAAGATCATATCTTATAAGACTAACAAATTTTAATATTGTTGAGACGATCAGTGGAAAACATGATAAATTGGTTTCATATTTTATACTAGCTGATCTATATTGTTTTCACTTAACGTTAAATTTGTCTTTGTCTCTACTTCGAGTTTCACGTATTACATTATAACATCAATCTAGCCTAAGTAGTTCAGGTTTTCTTCACAGCGACACGACGTATATTTTATTTCAGGTTTTATATTAGTTGATATACACCGTAAATTAGCTAGAGTTTAATATAGTTTTTTTTCTTAACGTATAGGATTTGAACCATGCAGTTGGAAAAGCATTTGGTTCCTCGACCTCAGGTAATAACATGCGGACACGTGGTGTGGCATAGTCATCCTAGTTTAAATTCCGAGTTCCGAGTTCTACCAAAAGATGCTGTAATTTCGAACTCGAGAACCTTTTAGATCAAGTCTTAATATTTAGTGTCTGTTTAATTAATTCAGTGTACATTTTGCATATAAGCAACACCGAGAAGGTGAAATTTATGTCAGATATTCAAGGTAGTTAAAAATAATTACCTCGGTACATCAAAGAAAACCGACTCAATCATGAATTAAAGCTTTGATAATATAGGTAAACGTTATTAATTTAAATAGCCCTTAGCCTATATATAGTTGATGTAATGCCCAAACGGATTTATCCACTTCACATAATGTAGATTATTAGTCAATATATAGCAAAATTTATGTAAACAAGACGCTCTACGGGGCGTTAACTCGCTGGGGCTCTACGGAGCGTTAACTCGCCGTGGCTATACAAATACGCACATTACTGTACATGATCACACATGATACATACAGTGACACAGCTATTTCAATTAAGATTTAAGGTTTTCCCCCAGCTAAGCGGAAAAGTCGAAAACGAGCGCGAAAGGCTTAACACATGCCACAGTACTAAAATGCGGTAGGCCCTATACCCTACTGGCTACAAGTAAAGTTATATTTAGTACGCTACATCCATGGGCGTACCGGGCCGGGGGGGGGGCGGGGGGGGGCGGCAGCCCCCCCAGTTTGTTGGGCAGTCGGGCAATATTCGCTGAACAGTCGGGCAATTTTGGTTTATTAAAAAAATAAATGGGACAAATTCTGTAAATTCTGGGGTCAATTTTGTGATGTTTCAAAAATTTTTGTTAGGTTCCGGAAAATTTTGGTATGTCCGGAAAACATTTTTGAGCCCTAAAATGGTACACTGACCGAAAATGTTTTGGCGACGGGGTGGGGGAGGTCGCCACTTTCGTACGCCCATGGCTACATCTTCAAGACTGTCAGCCGCCAGTTGGTCCGTACGCTAGGATTAAACTGCGCTTTAAAACGTTCAAAATAAAATATTTTTGGGCTTTTAATTTTGGGCTCAAAATAGACGAATCCACTGGTATACGGCCGAAAAAGAGAAAACCAATGTTATCAAGGATCAAACGTACTGCATTTTTTTTATAATTAATACAAGTAATTTTTTTTTATTTTCTTTTTTTTTCTTTTTTCTGTGCTGATGTTGTGTACTCAGGTGTGAATATGATGTTTGTGATGTTACTCTGAGTGTATATCCACACCGGGCGAGCTTGAAAAATATGCCCGGCCACGGTGGGAATCGAACCTACGACCTTTGGAATACTAGCCCAATGCTCTGCCAAATATTATATCACTAGATTGCATTGATATCGAAGGAACTAGACTCAGTTCCGAAATATCACATACTCGAACCGACCTGACCGCTTAACTCAGTTGGCAGAGCATTGGGCTAGTTTTCCAAAGGTCGTAGGTTCGATTCCCACCGTGGCCGGGCATATTTTTCAAGCTCGCCCGGTATGGATATACACTCAGAGTAATATCACAAACATCATAATACAAGTAGTTTAATAATTTTGAGCGATTTGTCAACAATACAATTTCGCTTGATTTTCAAAGGCCTTCAAAGACAAAGGCCATAAATTGCTAGAATACTGTTGTAAAGTAATACATTTGACATCCGTAATTAGTACCATTTTTAACGCTGAATCGAACGGTGGTATTTTTATCCTTATTGCGCCATTTATAGGCATTACAAATTACAAAACACTATGAAACGTACTGCGAGTGATTTGTCAACAATACAATTTGACCAATTTCGCTTGATTTTCAAAGGCCATAAATCGCTAGAATACTGCTGTTTAATAATACATTTGACATCCGTGAGTACAATTTCTTACGCTGAATCGAACGGTGGTATTTTTATCCTTATTGCGCCATTAGGCATTACAAATACAAGGACAAACGTAGCGCGAGTGATTTGTCAACAATAGTACGTACTCCAAGCGATTTGTCATCAATACAATTTCGCTTGATTTTCAAAGGCCATAAATCGCTAGAATACTGGTGTTTAGTAATACACTTGATATCCGTAGGTACAATTTCTTACGCTGAATCGAACGGTGTCGCTTTCTTCTCGGGATATAAAGCGGCGCAGCCAAACGTATAAACTTACGACTTGCGTGCTGTTTCCGTGCGAAATTCCTTGTAAAATTGTTCAATTTTCCCGAATTTTCCTGAAAATGCAGGGTTATTTATGGATAATTTGGGTAAAATTGGCAGGATCCTTATGGATAATTGGGGGGAAAATTAGGCAGCTCATTAATATTCTATTTTGTGGCTATCGACGATTGGAGATTGGAGATCCATGATGCCGAAACCTATACTCCTCTGGGGCACAGGTGCCCCAGCGAGTAATTAGATTCTTTTTATTCGCCTATAATCAGATGGCAAATTAATTTTGTATTTTAGTGATGATATAGCATATACTGGATACACTTATGTTCAAAGGAAGAACACGTCAACATTAATTAATTTGCCATAATACAAAATTAATTTGCCATAATTATAGGCGTAAAAAAAGAGTGTTTGTCCGTCTGCAAATCCAGGGCCAAACAGAGAAATTCGGGGGCTCGGGGCAATTTTTTATTTCGGGGGGCCCAAATTTTCCCGAAAATGTTGGCAAGCGAGGGGGGGGGGGGGATTTTTCCGGACGTTAAAATGTCGAGTCAAAAAAATTTTCAGGATCAAACACATTAAGTTAAATTAAAGTTTAAAATGAATTTTCCGTGCAAGTTCTTGTTAAAACTTGGGTAAACCCATTTTTTTCGGACAAACTCTGTAAAGTTAAGGTCTAGAAATTTTTTCTCGTATCATTATGTGATAAAAAACCGGCCAAATAATTTTGTTAAGTTACACGTTTTGTG